GTGTGGACTTAAATCATCAAATTCATTACAATTCTTCACAAATTCTGGTGTGATTGGTCTAACTATTAGTCGCATCGACCATCGTACTTCACAAATTCTTGTGTCAGACGGTCTAACCATTAAATAAGTCGACCTCATCATGCTAGTAAACGAAAATGGATATTTATATAATCAAACGGATATTTATATAATCAAACATAGTGTTTTCGTTCACATTATTTCTTTTTTGAAATAGGATATTTTTAATTAAAGTATGCATATTTGTGAAAAAAAAACAAAAACATTTGCCTAATAGTTAGGCTTGCCTTATAGAACACCTATTAATCGTACTTAAGCAATATCTTCATTGGGATCGTATCCAACGGTTAAAACATCCGACGGGATGGTACCGTAACGGGACCGTAGCATTTCTCATCTTCATTATCCTCAAGGACCTCAACCTGATAAATAACTGAATCCAGAAAGCACAATTGTCCTCATGCACCTCATTAGCTCCTATCAAAGTATATGCAGCACTGCAAGAGCTTTTTATCCTAAAATTTTACTGATTCAACACAACACTACACAAAATTTCATCCTCAAATATATTCTGATTCAGTATAACAGTATAACACTACATAAAGATTCACCCTACAAGATTAAGGCTCCAGAAACAAAAGAAAAACCAAAAAAATCGACGAGTCAACCGATAATGTTACAGTCAAAACTTGAAAAATCGAGGGAGCAAATAATGCATATTATTAGATACAAAATGGATTCTAGATACAGTCAGCACATCTACACAGAGTTAGAAGAAAAAGGACGAACGACTGTACCTGGAAAAAAAAAACGCGCATCAATCGAGATTTATTCGGGCTGGAAGGCAAAGCCCTGCAGCCCAGGCCTCTTCCACCACACGGCCATCATCACATGGCACTAGTTTCATTACAACATCACGACTGTGGGCCCCACCGTACCTTTGACGGGCTTCCTCCAGGCCCGGACACAGAACGTTTTCTACCCAATCGCCTAACGCGTTCTTCCTCTCCCCACCATCCGCAGCAAGCCAAGAGGCCGCGAGTATCTGAAGCAATACTTCCCGATCGATTTCCAGAAAGACTGTGGGCCCCACCGCTTTCTTCAACTGGGCATCGATATCCGTGAGTATTTCCCGACCGAGAGAATCGAAATCGAAAGGTTTGAAAGCCACATTTCCGTCCACGTGCTCGAGCAGTTCTTCCAATGATCCGTCTGATTCGTCATTTTCATCGTTGTTACTCACGAAATTTTCACAGTCCTCGACGGGTAAGTTTAAGTCGATAAATGATCTTGGCGAACGGCAATAAGAGCGTTTTGAAAGCTGGCCACTTGTCGAGTCATGATGACTATCGCTCGATTTCCTCTTGGATAATATTTTGCTCGCGGTGATCGAGACATTCATGGTGCTGCTGCGGGTTCTTCCGCAAATCGGGTCATGGGGCCCCACTAAAATCTGCATATGCAAATTTCGGGCCTCTAATATTTTATCCTCTAGAAATTCACATGCTGATTTATTATCCGAAAACTGGCCTTCGGTGGCCTTTAGAACGGGCGATGCAAGAAGAAATATATTGTTGTTGATGATAATTTCCCTGCCATGCGAATTCGGGAATTTACCTGTTTTGATTGCTCGACATAAACTGTCCCTAACCAAGAAATCGGCCCTCTCGACATTTTCGAGCAGCACGACAGAGTGAGGATGCTTACTCAACTCCTCAGCAAGATAATCGACTATCATTTTCCGTCCCAACTTCAGTTTCTGCTGCTTCGAGTCGTGAAAATTGAAAACCGACGAGATGGGGCTGACCGAGTCCCGAGAATTCAGATCCACAGACAAAAAGTTTTCTTTTCTGCCGAACTCAATCTCGGCAACTCCCGAAGCTATTTTCCTCTTTCCCGCTCGATCAGGTCCCAGAAGACTGAGCCAAGCGTTTCCATTTCCGTTTTCACTTCTGCAACGTGATACCGCTCGAGCGATAGTTTGAACAGCTTCTGATTGCCAGTACACCTTTTGGGCCAGGGCTGCCCATGTGTGTTTATTATGGTCTTTTGAATCCAGTTTTTTCTCGAAATGGTAGGGCAAAGATGGTGAAGACTGGGAAATTTGACGAACAGAGGGGGTCTCGTTGAGTTTCTTTGTGTTTTCTTCAGTTGCAGAATCGTACATTGCTCCAAGCCTTAAATTTGTGGCGACTGAAGGAGACGAGTGGTGAAGGTTGCTCATCTCCAAACCTCGAACACTTAAGTTAGCTTGTGTGTTTACACGTTTGCTCGGGACAATAGGTCTGGAAAGTTCTTCTCCTCCTGGGTGACGTACAAAATTAGTGACTGATCTTCCACTTAATAATGACCCTACGCCTGATTCAGCATCGTTCTGCATAAAAAAACTCTGAAAAGACGGACTGTTGGAAGTATTTGATGGCATGGCTTGATTAATATCCTTTTGAAATGCTGAAGACGAATGAATCCTTCGGCAGATATCAGTCCATTTCCTCTTTGATGCCATAACTCGGGCATCCAACACGGATTTGTCTTCTTTGGCCTGCACTGGAATGACAAGGGAGGAACCTGTTTATGGCACATCTCGTACAAAAGCTGAAACCGAGTTATCTGGTTTTAAGTCGTATCAGTCTATAACTGAACTGAGCTCAGGAAGGCAGTTGTTAGTTTTAAGGGAAAAAAAAAAACTCGTGTCAAACCGACTGAGTATTCCCATCAAACCGAGTGATGTTAGTTTGAACACGTTTTGTAGAGGAATATAGAATTTTTCAGCGTTTTTTATGTTTTTAGTTATTTTGGTTTTTCCCACACTTTTCTTTCTCCTTTATTATTTTATATTAGGGAATCGGTCGTTTGACAAGATTGTGGCACTTTTTTAAAAGGAGTGAATAACCTCTGCAGTGAGAGACTTCTCTCTTGTTTTGCTTTCAGCGACTTGCATCCAAGAAGGTAGACTTCCCAACTCCTTGGCAGCCAATGAGCTGGTTGAAACTCCTTTCGACACATCAGCAATCTCACGCTCGTACTTCTCATTGCACGAGTAGCAAAGTCCCGAGGTTTTAGCTGCAGAGGTGGATAGACCTTCATTCTCGGATGGCATAGAGAAGAATCCGCCAAGTGGAACAAATGACCTCAGTAAACTGCAAGTGCGTGAGCATGCAATCGTGAGATACTGATGGAAAGTGAAATGCATTTAGTTGAACGACCTTCAGATGAACATTTTTGTGGACAACAATAAGCAGAATTAGGCTCGAAAAAAACATGAGATCTATTAGACTCTGAGGAACTTCATCGACTTGAATATAAATGAAATTCACTATCCAGAGTTCAGTTCATGTGATGGAAGATCCAAAACTTGAACAAGTTCTCTCGACATAAGAATAGATATACATAAACTATCAATTCTATTTGAAAATAGGGCATTCAGTACATAGGTGGGAGCTAAAATTAGATGGTTTATGCGATTGAACACAAAAAAGGGTTCTAATGCAATACCAACTCAGCTAAAACACAAGACAATCAGATGTTAAATTGATCAAGGAGACGAACAACTGGAAATGATATCAAAATGAACATGGATGAAAGTACTCAACCAGCCAAGTAGCATTAACAGCCTCATCGACAATTACCCCTAAAAGACGTTTGCAATTTCTCTCGAGCAAACGATATGAATAAGAACGAATCACGTCAAGTAGGAAAAACTGACCTGGATTTGAAACTATTTTCTGAAGTGGAAGCAGTAGTTATGGGCAAAAGATGCAAATCCAAATCCATCTCGATGGAGGGAAACCGCTCCAGAAGCTTCTTGTAATCACCATCACCTGACAAAAAACCGATCAACCACAGCTTTCTACCATGGCTCATCACTAACCTCTTCAGCTCAGAAAGCATGTAACTCACAACGGTTTCCGAACCAGCATCCACAAACACCTTCAAATCCCCGCAATTCACAATAACCCCCGGCCCTTTGCATTCTTTCACCATTTCATCAACTTGCTTGAACTTCAATCTCATAATCTCTTCCTCCAAACCTTCTGCAGCTTTAGAACAGCCTGTAATCTCGTGCTCGATCGACACCACATTCAGCCCATCGATCTCTCTGGGGAGAACTCCACTCTCACCCTTCTTCAAACAATCTATAAATACCCTATGAGCATCGCTCGCGTGAACACCGACGAGCAAAGGATTTCTCCGACTGCTCTTCGCGAGAATTTCTGCTATTCTTCTGGAATTCCCATCGGCTCGTTCTGTACCGGCCCCCAGCTGGGAAAAGGGGAAGCTAATGCCCGGGTCCAAATTACCCAAGGAGATGCCGGGGAACAGTGGCGGGGGCCGGTAGCCGATGGCGGAAGAGGAGAATCTTGATGTGGTGAGGGGGTTTAGAATAGCCATCTTCACCTCATGGGTTTGAAACCCACCGTCCCCAAGGACCCGGCTGACGGTCGGGTCGTCGAGAATCGACAGAACGAAATGCTTCATCTCGACCTTGACGCCGGAAATCGAAGGTGGGGTTTGGGGATCGGAGCCCAGCTGGTGCTGGTAGAGGTGGAAGGTCTCGGGATGGCGCCTCTGGTTGGCCTGAGATCGCTTGATGGCGGCCATCAGGGAGTTGGAGACCGGCGGCTCGTCGCCGCCGGCGGATTTGGAAACAGAAACCCTATCGAGGGCGACGCCGACGGAGAGCTCCAGGGCGCGGAACTGGAGGCGTGGGGAGCACGCGCTGCTCCGGATGCGCGAGCAGGCCTCACGGAGTATGGAGGAGGGGAGGGCCAGCAGCGCGGAGACGATGTGGAGCGACGTCGTCTGCGCATGACTCCTGCGCTTTGCCACGGCCACGGCGTCGTCGAGCACAGCAGCAGCCGACTCCGCCAAGCACTGGCGGGCAACGTCCACCGGCGTCGGCATCGCCGGCGAGCCTGCCCAGGTTCGTATATGTATATATAGTACACTCGCAGAGATACGTACTCCGTGAATTCGTAATTTTTAAATGATCTACATATATTCTAATACAGATAAAATCGCATATATCCAAGAACCAATTTTTAATATCGTTTTCTCATTTTTTTTTGTCCCCAAATCATCAAGAGAGAGAGAGAGAGAGAGAGAGAGAGAGAGAGAGAGAGAGCACCCCACAAAAAAAAAAAAAAAGGGGGTTTCAGTAAAATTAAGGTTTTAGAGAGCTCAAGAAATTTAATTTAGTGAAGTTGCAGATGTGGAGGAAAGCACAAGAATTTTTGTTGGTGGGGGCCAAGAAAGAAAGGAGATGAAGAAGCATGAGCAAATTCTGACCATAGATTCTATTTGTGTCCTCCATCCCAAAAGGTGTTTGTTCTTGTGGTGGAATCTCACTCAATTATCACTCGTATTTTAAAGTGATGTATGACTGAGTTGCTATGTTCACTCATATCTTTTATTTGAATGGTAAGAAACGGGAAAAAACGAGTGTGATCCCACGCATATGAAGCACACTAAAACAAAGAAAGTTTAGATGAATCTCAAGTGAGGTTTCATCCAAAAACCAATTAGTGGAAGAAGAAATTGCCCATTAGATTTATAAATTAGGTATGTTTTCCTTATATAAACAATGTGGGACAATTCACAAGTGATTATTTTAATACGCCCCTCTACTTGTGAGTCCTTAATAAGAAAGACCATGCTCATTTACGGAGCTGGGTGCCCAAGCCCTACTAGAAACAGACTCCCATAAACGGGTATGTGGGAGAAAAAGAGTACGTCATCGCACGGTACAATAGAACCGACTCTGATATCATGTAAGAAACATGTGAAAAACGAGTGCGGTCCCACGCATATGAAGCGCACCAAGACAGGGAAAGCCAAGATGAAACCCAAGTGAGGTTTCATCCCAAAACCAATTGGTGGAAGGAGGATTGCCCATTAGACTTACAAATTAGGTCTATTTTCCCTATATAAACCATAAGAGACAACTCAGAAGTGAATATTCTAATATGAATAAATAAATTAATAAGGAATATTTACTTAATAAATTATAATATTTCACTTGTAAAAGATATTGGAGTCCAATATATGAGAAAATATGATCAAGCATTGGTAACCAATTCTAAATGTGCTAGTAAAACTGAAAAAGTTTAGTAAGGGCAAACTAGAAAAGTTTACCAAGCACGTTATAGTATCACTCATCGGTTGTGAAGGAGAACGAAGCATGCCATATAAGTGGATGTGGATACCTTCACTAGTAGGATGCATTTTGGTGAGCTAACTCCCAAAGGCAAAATCGTGCGAGTGAGCATGCCTAAAGCGGTCAATATCCTACCACGGGTTGGCTGGGCTATTACAGGTGGTATCAGTCAGTACCCGGACCATGCCAGCGAGGACGCTGGGCCCTCCAAGGGGGGTGGATTGTAGTATCTCGGATCCGGGCTTTCAAAAGAAGGAAGTTATTCCATTGGTTGTGAAGGAGAACGAAGCATGTCTTATAAGTGGCTGTTGATACCTTCACTATGTTGGGATCTATGAGGATCTCATTATGTACTTGTCACAAATTCAATAGCAAACGTAAACCTATGCGCAGCGGATCTAAAGGTTTGCGTAGAAAACTTATGGCTTGAAATTTATGGCGATCTGGTTGATCTTCTGGATGGCCGTACACAACACACCAATGAAAAGTAGACTGCAAATCGCGTTCTAGGGTTGCACGAACAAGATCGGATCGAAAACCGGATCAGTGCAAAAATGGAAGAAGACAAGTTGCAGTCCTGGGGGCTTGCGGCGGCGCGTGCGGGCGCGTGAGAATTTGGACGGCTGCGATCTCGGTGGCGTTGGAAAGCTCTTATCGAGATGGTCGTCTGGGTATGGTGCACGTCTAGATCGGACCTCCGGTTAGTTCTGTACGACAAAATATATTTCGTCTCAGTTTACCCAAAGATCTTCTACTGTATATCTAACACCTCTTAATCTTGTACCGGTGGAACAACAAGAAGAAGATAAAGTTCGAATGGGAACTGAGAGAGAATATGGGCGGCGTGATTGGCGTGTAAGAGGAGTTCTCTTCTTTTCCCATGAGCTTAATGATGTGTAGAGCTACAGTAGAGACCCTTAGGAGATTAGGATTATGGCTCATTAATTAATTAAAATACTTGTGGATCAAACAACTTATTTTAATTAATTAAATATTATTAAATGGGCCACCAAGATAATATTATTGCACTCCCTTTTCCTAGCCCAATTTACAATTGAGACTCCAATAATAATTACTCGGTTTATCTCTCCATGTTTAAGATATAATGTTTATTATTTAATTCGATTACTGACAATCAAGAATTAATTAATTTATTATTGTTTTACCGAAACTAGCGCTCGTTCATCACATTATTACTATGCCGGAATTTAATCTACCTGCAGGGTTTAGCATAATAATCCTTCATGAACTCACTTCGGGGACATCATCAAACTAACGCACATGATGACCGTAAATATCATAACAACACATTCTACATGCAACAATATTACCCAAGACAGCGAGTCTATTGGCTCAGTTCACTAAGCCTCATTCATGTGAATCAAAGTAATAAGTACTACACATATATGCATGTTTAATATCTTATGGGGTTAAGAGTATGCAGTAATTAACCGAGGCCTAATTCGTTTACGACGATCAGTATAAAACGAACTGCTCCTCTCTGCGATCATGTTCAATACATAAATGTACTAGTGCAAGTAATCAGTCAAGACAAACTGTACGGTTGACACTACAACCGTTCACGAATGTCCATCTGGGTTGTGAACCAATTATTCTTGTTTTCCGAGTAACTGATAGCTTGATATTCAGTTCGCCGATGACGACCCACACTATCTAATGCAAAACAACAGAATGTATAACTTGTTTAATCTAACATGTTTCTCATTCATAAAGTGTAAAAGTGTAATATCATCCAAAGTCAAGCTTTCAGTATATAACACTAACACTAGTAGGACGCGTTTTGGTGAGCTAGCTCCCAAAGGCAAAACCGTGCGGGTGAGCGTGCCCAAAGCGGAAAATATCCTACCGAAGGTTGGCTGGGCTGTTACACACGTGCTTGTTTACCAAATATTTTACTTACATTTATTTCATACTCAAAATCTAACTCAACTTTAATTCAATTTCACTATCCTTAATATTTTACATATAATTAAATAATACAAATCAAACATTCTTACACATGGCATCAACTTTAATTCACTATTCATCCACTCTGAAAAATGTTAACTACCTATTATTTCCAATCATGTACCTCATACTTTTACATCAAATCAATTGTAATCATTTTATTTTAAATATTATTTTAATACAATCTTAAAATTCCTCTAACAACTAATCATACAATCTTTTCAAAATTAACTCAGATTAATCAAAATAACTCATTTTGAATGGATTATTTAGTAAACAAGCATGCCCTAAAGCATTGAGAAAACCCATGCTAAATGTGTGTGAAGAAAATCAATATGAAAAATTGGGGTTGACTTGGTTTTGATTGATTATTTTATGGTAAAATATATATCTCGAGTTGAATTAAATTGTGTTAAAAAATTACGTTTCGAATAGATACTCGTGGTATATTTATTTTCACAAAATTGATTTCGGCGAGTGAGAAATAAATTATTAAAAAGTATTCATTAATGGACACGGTAAAACATTAGTTGCGAATGGTCAAAAGTCACTCTCACAAATGGAAAAATTAGAACAATAGAACAATCGACGAATTAGTACTGAGTTGAATGCTTATACTGAGGTTTTATTGAAGGATTCGGTCGCTCTCGGAACTCTTATAACATTAGCTTAATGCATGTTGTTGAACTAATAGTGGAGTCTTTGTAGTATATTTTGATTATTCTTTACGTGTTTTCTCGATTGAGTTTATTCGATGTACTTTCGATGATTTTCTCAAGTGTCGGGGGTCGCTATTCAAGTGTCAGCTACATGTAAGTCGTTGCTTGACACAACTTTCTCAAGTGGCTGCGGTGCAAACAACTTATGCGTGGGAACCCCTCCGACACTAAATTAGTATGGTAGGCTTGAAGGAAAATTAGTTCATTTGTAGCTGATGTGAGGAGATAACTCTTCTACGCCAAGGTGACATTAGTCTGATGCAACTATGTCCTGGAGCAAGATCGACGATGGCTTCTATGTTCTTAGGACGCACCGAGCCGTAAGTGCTCAGGTTAGTGTCTACCTTCTTCTGGCGCTCCGAGCCGATGTACCTCTATATATCTAAGAATTTGTATTTCGGGACTTTACGGATATCGCCATTGTGAATCAGTCATCCATGTTCACTCTTAAAGGTGCTAATCCGGGTCGAAAAAATTTATGTATAACAAATATAAAGTTTTACATAATATACACTGGATAAAATCACGTGATTTTAAACACCACAAGAGTTCCATAATCAATAATTTCTACACTTGCCCGATTTATGTCATTGAAAAAAAAAAACATAGTAAATTAGTTTATCTTTATATAAAGTGCACTTTAGTTGGATGAGATGGCTTGGGTCTCTTCCAACTTAACCACTGGTCTCATGTCCGAGCCCTGGGAATGCAGCATTGTTAAAACTCTTGAGGGAGAGCTTTGCCGCCCTTGTAGTCCTACCCGGCTCGATTCCGAATTAGTCGGTTCCCCTATAGATCTGAAAACCGAAAGGTTCCTGTACCAAAAAAAAAAAAAAGTACACTTTAGTTGGATGTGCCAATTAGCTTTTGTATATAGATTATAGATTGGCGATAAAAATATGTTGCTTCATGAACGAAAATTTAAGTGGGCTTATAGGCATCACTATCATATTAATTTATTTATTTTTCTTATAAAACCATATTAATTATTTTGGATGTTGCTAGTGCAAATGAAATTAAATAAATGAAAGAACGGACGATTATTAGTAATTTTGATTCTT